GCAGAATGCATTTGTATTTTGGTCGGAATATTGAATGCAGATGGGGTAGGAGTGCGTGGAATGAGGCGAATTGCCACAACCAGATCTGCAAATGACGACGATGCTACATAGCCTGCTATGACAACTACGACTGTGATCGCGCACCTCTAAGTGTGTGAGCAGGGCGTTTGGGTCTTCCAGGCTTACATATATAGCGAATATTAAGCTGCAGTGTGTAGTCTATTATAATAGAGTCTTATGCTGAATGACTTCTTACCATTAACCAGACCATGTATTGCTAACATGAGCCAAAATCGTCACTTATAAGTTGAGCTGAAGTGGATGGAGAGAGGAGTGATTACAGCAAGTGTGTGTTTGAGTGTAGACGAGGCAAACTTCCACAGAGGTGGAATGAGTGAAAGGATGGACGTTCATTTCCAATCCTTAATCCATCAGTCCTCTGTCTCATCGCCTTACGTCAACAGAAACGCTTGGCAGCGAGATGAGAATGTGATAGAGGGAGCAAAATTGATAACAGGAGTATGGCAAGATAATTGGACTGTTGTTCTTCAACGAGGGAAAGACACATTTTGAGCATCGTCTGCACCGTGTCAGCATCGACAACTCGAGCGAAGCAAGTGAAAGTTGTCCGATGAGTTGCTCACCTCAGAGTACGGTGGATTATATGGCACAGGCTGAAGTTACTGACTATGGGGGGTCACGTTGAACTTTCTTCAGCTGAGCAGATTGAGGATAGGAAGGAGGCTCTTCTCGCATTGGTGAACCATGATGCTGTGTTACATTGAGGTCGATTCAATCGTCAGACGCATTTTACTGGAACTCCTTGGTTTGGTGTCATAAAGGTGTTTATGTAGTGCCCTGTTTCAATATCACTCATGGGGAGTGATGTAACTGTATTGCGACAACGATGGCTTGGCATAAACTTCGTGCAAATCTGAGGATGGTAGGCTGCTGGAGAGGTGTGTGTGTAGGTGGTAATACCAAGCCAAAAGGATGTCGCTCCCTGATTCATCACACCGTCTAATCTCAACCCGTTGCAGCACTTCTTGGTGGAATTGAGGAGTGAACACAGAGATTTCGGAAGGCATGGTAATTTAAGTCTCCTCATAATGCACCAACAGCTTCACATTTGTAATGATTTTGCCCTGTCCTTCACGAAACCTCCAAATCTTCTTCATTTGAGCGTCTAGACTTCACTAGTAAAACGGACCATCTTGTAAAGCATATACCAACTTGATGATGTCTAATTTCTTCGATGAGTCAATTTGTTCGTACAGATTTGTGCGTGATCAGTGCACATTGAGTGGAAAGAGCCCAGTGAGGCGATGAGAAAATGCAGGGGCAGACGACGCTGCTCTAATAGCAGCATTGCTATGTTGACGTGAGACATCGAAATCTGTATACGAACTCCCACTTTCCCTTCCTCCACAAGGGAAGAGTGAATATGCAGATTGGCTTTGTGAAGGCAGATCTGCAGAATGTAGAAAAGACGCACTGTGGAATGAAAGATAAGCGTGTGGTGGGAGCGATTGGGTGCGATAGTTCATTCACCTCCACAGGCTCTGTTCCCTACACTGCTATTGAGTCAAGTCATACACCTTTCCTGTGAAACACTGCTGTCTCCTATATCTCCCCAACAGAATGACCTTTCACAGATTTAAATGAAGATGGTGTTATTTGAATTAGTTTCATGCAATCACATGGAGCATTTGTGCCTACAAGTCTCACTGGCCACAGGGG